ACACACATCCAGACTTACACACACGTTCTGCAAGCAGAATGGTATTTGTCAACAAAACTAAAAGTCACAAATGTTCAGAATCACAAAACCTCATTTTCTCATTAGATTCTGTTCATGAGATTAACTTATTTTTTTTAAATCTCTGGCCTGTGTTTTTGGAACAGTTTGGCTTATGGTTCGGTCATAGAGAGATGTCAAAGATTTTGTCTGTCATTACTATACAGTTACATCTGCATTGATAAGAGATTGTTTTGGTATTATATTATGACAGTTATTGATTCTGCCGTATCATGATTTTTAATCCAACAATTAAAAGCATGAGAACATAAGAAGGTTTACAAATTCCATCTGTTAGACTTTATGACTTTATGATTTCTAGTAGATAATTAATCACAAAATTTCACCCAGTATAAACTCCTGCTTGCAGGATTTCAAAATATTCACTTTAACAAACTGACTGACCAATCAGTGTCTCCCATATTAAATCCTCCCCATTTCTCCCCTTAATTTCCACTTGTTACTCTATATGTTTTTTTATCTTTGGGCTGTTCTTATCATTTCCATTCCTGACTTTTTATCAGTTTTGCTTCAGACTGGAGAGTTTCAGTTCCTTTTTCCTATTTGTACGTGATGTTCCTCTACAATCCAAAAATATTCTGGTCACTTTAATTTAATCACTTTCAAAGGCAACAAAACCTTTTTGTTGTGTGGTCCACAACTCAGAATGCAATATATACTACGCTAGATATATTGAAAACGGGAGTCCGTTTGACCAGTCTAACTCATTTGGCTGCCAGTAGCTATTTGATCATATTGTTCAGTCGTTTCTTGAAAAAGCCGGGTTATCATCTTCAGTGGCATTGTTGGTTAGCTTTTTTAAGACTCCCATAATGCTGTATGTAAAAAGTGACACCCTTCTTGGGGTTACAGTAAATGCATATCACTGTATTATTTTTGTAGTTTCCACTTCTATCCTTTGATTCATGTTTCACTTTTGATTCTGCAGAAGTCAAGTGGGTTGATTTCATCAGAGCCTTTGAAGTTCTCTGACCGGGACTAAAAAGGTTTAGTTCTTTCAGCCTTTCTCTATAATCTATATTTTCATCATTGTTCCTGAAACACTTTACCTCACCCTTCTTTTACTACTGTAACACAGAATAAACCTTTATTATTGATTTACCATCCATTGCATAACCTGTGCTTGTAGTTCATTATAGTCATTTTTTTCAGAGGGATCTGGTTATATCTATGATTTTATCAATTATTTTTCATCTGTATATGTGTCTGAATTTATTAAACTGTTTGGGCCACTAGTAGTACTAATAATAACTAAAATCGCATGTATTCTATCTAGATCTGCCCAGCCCTAAATGCTGTCTAATCCCTCCTGTATGTTCTTTCCCAGAGAACTGAAGTATTTAAGAAAACACATTCAGCATCCACAATTTCAAAAATGGAAAGACTCTATCCCACACAGGGGGATACCATGATGACCCAGTTATGAGTGGAATAAAATACCAGGTGTACTTCAAGATGGACTATTCCAAGAACTGTTGCTAACTGCTTCTGATATTACAGAAAAACCATCAGGCCACCTCTGAAACACTACACTACTGATTGTAACATCAGTGATGGGACATGTTTGGGACATCTACATATAACTACGAAGGCACGAGACAGGTGGGTCAGTGTCACACATCTCTATTATCCCCTTCTGACAAAAGCCCGAACCGGAACACTGCCTAGTAAATAAGGCATCCAGTCCTCCAACAGTCGTTAGGCGAGCGTGACACCTGCACACTGAACAGTTCTGTGACTTGCATTTACACCTGCAAGTGATGATTGCATGTGTTTGCAACGGGACCAAAGTACAGAACTGAAGACCTGGGAGACTGTCTTCCATACTGTTTTAGGAATGCTTTACTCCCTATACATTAAGGCATTTTGTTTTATACTTTACATGTCAAGTATATACAACTTTGTTATTTGCCTCCAGAGCTCTGAGTCTCACTTCTTCCAGACCGCAGAGCAGACAACGTCTTAAAGCCCTTTATCTCCTAGCTGGTTTAAGAGACCTTTTAATTAGCCGAGAGGTGTGGTTAATCCCAAACAGAGCCTATACTGGCAGCTCCTTTCCCTCACGTGGAATTTCACTCCCACTGAGTTCCAATTACTCAGGCAGAATAGCTGTGCCTCGTTCTCCAGGTTTTTCCAATTAACATGTGGCTCTCGCACAAAGCCACCTCTCACTAGCTCACACAGCGGTATTATGGAAGAAATTGGAGGATACGGAAGACTTGGTAGAATAAAAGTTATTTGCCGCAGAATTCAATACAAGTGGGACAGATGGGACGAAGGGCTGGCCTATGTGATATGTAATAATAATCCATCCATTTCGGTAACAACTTAGTCCCACACAGGGTCATGATAAGCGAGAACCTAACTTGGCAGGCAGTGGGCACACAGTTTGATACAGGAGCCAATTAAGAGATGGCAGGAAAATACGGCTTTGGACAGGAGGAGGAAACCAGAGAACTCCCAAATAAATCCACCTGAACAGGAAGAGAACATGCAGATTCCACACGCAAAGTCCCACCTGGGACCCAGGAACTGTGAGGCAGACGTGCTAAAGGTCACAACACTGTGCCATCTGTGTGACAGAAGAAATCTACAGCAGGGATTGTTGCCACTTTACCAGACTCCTTAATCGCACAGCCCTTTCTCACTACTGTTACCTGCATCTTAATCCCCAGAATCTATACAGTGAATTGGGGAGCAGTTCAGAGCAGGGGTGAGGGGTGGTGGTCTTAGATTCCCATGGTAGACATTGTTGGGGAGACCCTCAAAAAGAGTCCTGTAAAAACAGGCTGGCGCTCTAGGCGAACTCTGAGCGAAGAGAACAAGTTGTTGTTGTTTTTACACATGCCGCTGTCGTGAAATAAGAGTATGTCTGAAACAAATACCTACAGTACAATTGCATGCTTACCTTGAAAAGGTTGAAAATCACGCAAGAGGTAGAGAAGAAGTAGATCACGAGACTCCAGGACTGCAGTACTTAAAACGGTAATGAATCATTTGAAAATACGGATTTGTTTCGTTATTTCCGCGTTGATGTCTGGGGCAGCGAGTTCACAAATACAGTGTTTCCACCTGTGCATAAAGGCATTTGTGTTCTGTATTATTTCCAAAAGAGGGCGCTCTCAAATGAATTAATCCCAGATTGGTTTTCTTCAAATTATCAAGAGTATCATTAATAAATAATATTTGAAAACCTCTTTTTACATAGAACGGTCGGTGTTTTCTAACGACAAATTAGAACGAGAAGCTTATGGAATATGTATGAAGATATGTGTACTGGGGTTCAAGGCTCAATACGGTTCCATCGAAATTAAAAAAATATCTCTATTCTTGATTTAAAAGGAATTGTATAGTTTACTATAGAAATTATTTTTGTTGACGAATCTCAAATCCTGAATTCTTCGAATCTTTACATACATAATCATTATCAAAGAACTCAAAGAACTCGTTTATTATCAATAAACATAGTGAAATGCTGCTAGATATCGTGTTGATTCTATATGAAATTACAAATACATTCAAAGACCATCAGTATAGTAATATCCACGCTCAGCGATTTTCTACGGCACTCCAAGAACTGCGTCCATGCAGAATTCTCCCGTTTGGTGTGTGTAATAAGTAAATATATTAGCAATGAAATAGCACGATTAATTTCACTTGAAAGAATGTTAGTGTTTTCTGAAGCCTGCTTTATCAGCCATCGCTGAAGAGATCTGTTAAATCTCTGATGGTCAAACACATTAAATAAACTTTACTTTGTTTAATATATCAAACAGCCTGCGGGTTCTCCAGAATCAATAAAATGATGACTCGTGATCTGCGACGCGGCTGCGTGCGAGATGAGTCTAAATTCAAATGCTGCTCCTGTAACTGAGAAAATAAAACTGGATTTCTCTGTGAAAATGTAGCTGAAATATAATTTTGATATAAATAACTTCCAATATTGCTCAAATTTAAAATTGGTCCACCGGGGAATTGTCTCCGCTTGTTTTTGGTGACAGGTCACTCATAAATCCTATTTCATGTTTCCTTTTGTTTTCTTCAGAGAAAATAAAACAAGGTCCACGTTGTGCTTTGTGTAATTCGTTTTGCGTTTTTAGTTTACTTAGTTGCGAAATGTCATGGGCATACAAACCTTGGAAATAGTGTTTTTCAAAAACAGATTTTCGGTTTTCTCTAGGCCAAAACTAGCCAAGCTAAAAAAATGATACCGAACAGGCAAATGATGAATTGGTTGTACAGTTAAAGGTCTGAATTCGGTCTAAAATAGTGATTAAACGAATTAGAGCAAAAAATATTATCCGATGACGATGACCTTAGAAGGACAAAAGGGCTGAAATGAGTAGATGAATGTTAACACATTTCTACGACTAATATTAGGATGTATTAACTGTAGTTTAATACTTATAAAATCACTTGTAAATCGTCTATTGGGAAAGCTGAAACTGGAAGAAATGAGATATCCGTACACGTTTTATTGAGATTACAATGCGTTTGATAAAAAGCATTGTTTAAAAATGTTTTATTAGCCAGTATTGTAAGCGGTAACAAATTCAAGTCAAATAAAACAAAAAAAAAAGGAAAAGTTACTCGTGTTTGACCTCATGTTATGGAATACAATTCGATTCTTTACAGCAGAAGTGAACATCTAGTCTTGTTTCTGACGATTCTAACAGGGAATATAGACCACACTCCTGGCAATAAACAAAAAAAGGTCAAAAAGAAGGCAATTCTCTGCATTCCTAATTCCGTCTGCTGAAAAAAAGTGCATGATAAAAAGCCTTCTTACAACAACAGTTTAAACTCAACTCTTTTCTCCTGGAAAACAATCAGATTAGGTTATAATGAATCTTTTCAAATGGGGTTTGTTCTTTTTAGTTAGCGCAGGTGTACAATAGGCGGCCAAGCCGGGGAGTCTCACGCCTAGGTGTGAGCTGATTATTCAAATAGGGCAACGCAGAAGTAGGGATTGGAGATTTCGCCTGGCGCACAGAGCTATATCACAGCGTTTACAGCCAGACACCAACGTCATTTCAGCTCCTGTCATCATCAGACGCTATTCAGCGCCTCTGGGCACCACTGTCTGAAATCTACACATGCTCGAGTCCCCGAGTAGAAAGCAGACCAGCGATCTGGGTTACCGTTGGTCCGAAGTCTTGTTCTAGAGAACTTTTTTTTTAAAAAAAAAAAAACCTTCTCCAGAGAAGCTGTTGACCGGGTGGATTCGCTGCTTCCACAATGCTGGGTGCAGTTAAAATGGAAGGACACGAGCATTCAGACTGGAGCACCTATTACGGCGAGCCCGAGGTTGGTAGCTTATATATATATATTTTTTCCTCCTAAAGCCGATCCCATTTTATACAACTCAATATTAGCCCTGAGATAATATTAACTTTGTGATCAAATATTGACTTGAGGCGTCTCCAAATCCTCCCCGATCTCCGAGCTGCGCTATCCTAACAAAGTTGGGCTTGGCATGCAAGAAGAAACTTTTTTTCTGGAATTCTGACTTCATCTGCTTACATACAAGTCATGGATAATTTGTTTTTTAAGGATTGCTTTCTTTCATTCTGTAGTGGAAAATACACATGTAATTGCTATATAGTGCTGTCGAGTTGCATTCACTACTTAATGAATATGCATTCAATGTTTCTTTTTCGGTTTCTGTTACACTTTCTGTATTGTTTTCTGTACAATTTGATATTTTCACGTCCTGTGATCGTTCTAAGGAGAACTCGTGAAAAGAATCTTTGAGGAAATCAGTTTCGCTCATGGGACTTCTTTATACATTTTAGATTAGCCGCTGAAAGCACATTTGTTTGATTATCCTGAAAATATTAAATACGTTTCATGTAAGATTCGAGTTGGGTTTTTTTTTCTGCTCGAACGAAGACAACGCTTGGATGAGGAACAACATTTATAGAAGTCGTTTTGTCGAATCAATGATAGGTCGCGGGTCACCATTTTTTTTTGTTTTTTTAAAGTTTTGTTTTCATTAACAAACAAAAACTTAACTGTGGTGCCAAGTTTGTTTTAAGCGCCTTTGACACAACCGCCAGTGATTCGAAAACTTAACTTTTGTGTGTCTTTTTATTTTCCTGCTCCCACAGTGTTACACATCCGTTGGCAACATGAACACCGGACTGGGGATGAACACCATGAACACGTACATGAGCATGTCGGGCATGAGCACGGCGGCCACCATGACGCCGAGCTCCATGAACATGTCGTACGTGAACACGGGCATGAGCCCCTCTATGACGGGCATGCCAGCCGGGGCCGGCTCCATGAACGGCATGGGCCCCGGGATGGCGGGCATGAGCGCGGCTCTCAGCCCCAGCATGAGCCCGATGACCGCGCAGCCGCCGTCCATGAACGCCTTGACGTCCTACCCCAACATGAACGCAATGAGCCCCATGTACGGACAGTCCAACATCAACAGATCGAGGGACCCGAAAACGTACCGGAGGAGCTACACGCACGCCAAACCGCCCTATTCGTACATCTCCCTCATTACCATGGCCATCCAGCAGTCGCCTAACAAGATGCTCACGCTTAGCGAGATCTACCAGTGGATCATGGACCTCTTCCCCTTTTACCGTCAAAACCAGCAGCGCTGGCAGAACTCAATCCGCCACTCCTTGTCCTTCAACGACTGTTTCCTGAAAGTGCCTCGGTCGCCCGACAAACCGGGAAAGGGCTCCTTCTGGACCCTGCACCCGGACTCCGGGAACATGTTCGAGAACGGCTGCTACCTGAGGAGACAGAAGCGCTTCAAGTGCGATAAAAAACTCTCCAAGGAGTCCGGCAGGAAGACCTCCGAAGGCGGATCTAACAGCAGCTCGGAAAGCTGCAACGGCAACGAGTCTCCCAATTCCAACGCGTCCTCCTCCACCGAGCCCAAAAGGTCGCTGTCGGACATGAAGTCCAGCCAGGCTCTGAGCCCCGAACACGCTGCGTCCCCGACATCTCAGGCGCAGCATCTGCTGTCGCAACACCACTCCGTCCTAGCGCATGAAGCGCACCTGAAGCCGGAGCATCACTATTCCTTCAACCACCCTTTCTCCATTAACAATTTAATGTCGTCGGAGCAGCAGCATCACAAAATGGACCTAAAGACTTATGAGCAGGTAATGCATTACTCTGGGTATGGGTCTCCCATGACAGGAGCCTTATCCATGGGCTCGATGACCAGCAAGGGGGGCTTGGAGACCTCGCCAATATCCACTGACACGTCTTACTATCAAGGTGTGTATTCTAGACCGATCATGAACTCTTCCTAAGTTTTCTGCAACACAATGGACCTTTTCCAGCAATTTGTACATTTTGTAAAATAATAGTTTGTGCACACGCATTCCAAAATATTTTTTTGATGTTTCCCAATGATTACTAGATGTCAAGTTTGTTTAGTATTTTTTTTGTAAAAGGGGTGTTAATATATGACAAGATTTGTTTGTTTGTTTTCAAACTCCCACCGCAGCTTTTGAAACGGAACAAAAAACAAAACAACAATGTTACAAATTATGGCACGGTAAATACTGAATTTAAAATGCAATTTGGGAGAGTGAAGTGCTTCAGACGAATAATTTATCGTTTGTGTATTTCTTATTTATGGCTTGTAAATGTGTATTCTTGTAGTTGACAACAAGGGCAGAATATATTAAAGTGTTACTTGGACGTTTTGGGAACATGATCGTCTGGTCTTATTTTCTGTAAAATTATGTTTCATGTAATTACGAACATATTATATAGAAAATATTTCAGCATTGAAACGCATCAGTATGGCTTGATAAAGTCAACATGAAACAACACAAGGTATTTTTAGCTACGATGGTAAAAATCATTTCATGGTTTAAAACAGTATAGTTTTCGCTATTTCAATACCAAACGGTGTTACGTTGTGGTTCGCTTCATTTAAGAGTTAGGACATTTATTAATTAAAACCAAGTATTTTACCTTTACGAAAACACCCTAAATCACTGTAAAATGTTGACCAGTCCGGATTTCATAAGGGGCAAAACTAAGAATCAGATCGAAAAATTATTTTGAGCCTAATTTAAAGTAACTAAATGTCCTATCGCATTCAATGATCTAAATAGTGACATATTGTATATCATTTCGGAACAATATGCAATGAGAAACTCAACAGATTTTAAAAACCGCTTTGGGACTTATTCTGTTTTTACCTTTTTGAAATTGTGCTGGAAAAGTACACCCGTTACACCTTCCGCTATTCTCCCCAAATAACGTGAAATATTTGCATTGAAAGGTTAGATCCTACAATTTAACGTTGATATACGGGTAAAACGAGTTTTCAGATGACCTTATAAAAAATCATGAATCAAATATAAAATCGAATAAACTAAATATGCTAAATATGTTATCATATTCTTAATATATGGAGGTGTACGTGTTTCTAAGATGACAGGGTAAATATTTCAGTCTGCTTGGCGCCAGAAAAAAAAACATTTGGCCAGGCCTGTCGGTGTCGTTGATGTGTTAACTTTTGCGATTTCACACACACAACGAAGTCCTCTATTTTACTCCTTGCATGGACTCTCTTGCTATGGTTCACCTGCGTGATCATATTCACAGTTCGTGAAATGTTTCAGTGTGTGTTTGTAGCTTTGGGTGCCGCGGTGAGTTGCAGAATTGAAACACGAAGCACAAGAAACCCCACGAAGCCCAGCAGGGCATTTAGCCAAAGCTGCGAAAAGGAAGAAGAGTTAAGATCATCAGTGAACTACAGCAGATGTGGGAATAGGTGAGAAAAAGAGATTTGAACCGCTACAGTCAAACAAATAAAACGACATCCTCACCAACAGCTGATTAGTTCAAACCGCCTGGAACAATCGTTGTAAGCAAAACTAAAGTCCAGCTTAAAGCACTTACTACGCAGCGATGCTGCATATAGTTTCGTTTTTGTGGCGAAATCTAAATTCCATGAAATGGCGCAGTGTACTGAGAAACAGTGCTTTATTAAGTGCGTCTCGCTTTTCGCTGTACCTTATAAAGCAGCTAAATGACAAAACACCCACAGGAGAAGTGTTCTCGATGAATACTTGGTTTTATTGCCCATATGTTTTTCCTGATACACTTCATGATTACTAGTGTTGGGGCAGTGATGACTTAAATCTAGCAAGTCCTCAGAAAATCTAGATTAACATTCTATTAACATGTGTGAGCACTTCCAAACAAACATAAAAAAAATGATTAAGAACGATTACAGTGCCCAATAAATTCATGGACACAAACGGGGTGCGCTCAGTCGTCAGATTGCCGATGACAGCACCCAGTCGCTTGTTAGTAGACGAATGATATCAATTTAATTAAGCTTGATGTCATTGCAAATGCAAAACTTTTTTTCTTTTGATTAAATATAATTTTAATTTAGCTGTACCTTAAAAAGTTAAGAGTATAGCATTCTAGCTCAATTCGCTATTCGGGATTTATTCACTAGTACAAGACCCCTAAAATCATGAAACCACTGATGATGATACTGGTGAGGATTCGATATAAATCTGAAATTGTGGAATCGGTCACAGGATGACTTTAATAGTATAGTTCTTTGGCGCTATTACTGTAACGAAGGGAAAAGGAATGAAAAAAAATTTTGTTAAAAGTTTTCATTGAAATGATTAAAAATCAATTATTACTTCTTAGAAGCGCAGTAATAAAAATATAGAATAAAGGGGGCTGTGGTTTTATGCGCAATTACTGCTTTAATTTCTGTAACAACATAATAGGACCCTTGAAGCACTTAAAGAAAGGTTCCTATTATCGTTTTTTTCTGTATGACACAATTTAATACTCTAGATCCTTACTAGTCCAATTTCTTAGACGTCACTATTTCTTCACAACAGCAGCCTAATTTCAAGGTTTAAATGTCAAATTTTTTTATTTTTTTTATTGGGGGGTGGAGGGGGGGGGTACTTTTTCATCTCAAAACTTGAAAACTCAAAAGAAAACTGGGAGGCGTCCAGAGGAGAATGTATTAAACGCATTCGTATTTAAGAAACAGTTACTATGTTATTTAAAAAAAAAAACGGTATTATTCCCGTGCTGTATCTCGGGTTTCCCACGCACAGTATACCACCAGATAGTCTGAACTCGCACCTACATAACAACATTCAAATCCTCCTTAAATTCGACATTGTCCTGAGAATGCAGTCCCCGGGTCGAAATCTCGCCCTCTCTCTCTGTTTCTCTCCTCCGGGAGGACACACACGTTGCGATCCAAGCATGAAATTTGTTTCATTATCACATAAAAGCCTCCCGGGGAGAAGGAGAATGGGGCGGCTTTGGCAACAATGGAGGCTGAATGTGATGCTCTAACCTGTTATGTTCTGTATCACACAGCCATTGTCAGGGGGGTACTTTTAAACTACTTAGTGTCTCCCACTCCACTGATCCTAACAGATAAGATGTAGTTCTCCCCGAATAAATCAAAACCGGGGATGTCATTCTGATCACTGGGAGAAACCGATCGGTTTTTTTTCCCCCCTGTCTCAGCCTTTGGGTGTCTCGCCCATGGCTACCTCCTCACATTCCGGACGTCCAACTTCTCTCACCGCGTCGCTCCTGGTCCCTTTATTTCCACTGTACATGTATTTTCCGACTCCATTCCACAGATCGGTCTTTAAACACCCGCGATCCGTGAATAAACAAAGTTTGTAAACAATGAATATATATATATACATGTAATACCAAATTCCAACAGAGCAAACTTTGAACAGAAAGACGTCACAGTTCAGTAAATTTGCACAGATATTAAATTTCGTTTCTCTTCATTTTAGCCATAATGCTAAGCTGAATTTTTATAACTCTGATCGATATCTCGGTAAAATAATCATTTTTTTAAACTAGCGGGGCAGTGAAATCTTTGCTTTGTGCTAAAGTCAACAGTGGCAGAGTTTGAGCTCAAATAAATGCCGGGATGCCTCGAGCCCTTTGCAGTAGGCTTGTCTGAGACGTTTTAAAACTGGGCTCCGGTCGTTTGTGCAGCTGAGCGAACAAACTCACCAGGTAGGCATATATATATATATTTCACTTTATGCCAAGATGGAGTGTTAAAGAACAGAGACAATCACCTACATCAAAGTGTTTGTTTTAAATATAGCTCCGAGTTCGGATTGAGAAAAAAAAAGTACCAATATTTCAAAGCAATATAACGTATTTTGGGGGTTACCGTTGAGAAACCCAAACCCATATGCCAGTTCAGTACGGCAGGTCGGTTTTTCTTCCTTTACCTTATTGTTATGGGTCAGTTAACAATAACAGGTGATTGATAGTCTCGATGTTATCAGGATAACTCACTTACCCTAAGTGCGCACGGTGTTTTTTTTTTCTTTTCAAAATACAATGCGGACATACAAGCACTCTCACACACGCGCGCGTTCATGCATATATATATTTAATAATATTTAACAGGTAGTCGCGTTTCTTCGTACTTTCGTGCATCGCTATTGTCTCTTTGAACGTTTTGCTTCATCTATTGAATATGTTTTATTATGATCACTTCTGCATAATACCTAAAATTATGTTTTTTTAAAAATTCCGAGTACCAAATTTCATACATTTTATAAACCTAATACCAAACCTTACCTTTTATCAAAACCAAATGAATTTACTGAATTTTTAAAACCCAAGTATGAATTACAATGGAATAGAAGTGGATCTTCAGTTGATATTTATTTGTGGATATATTTTACATATATAAAAATTAGAGCAACGGAAATAAAAATATGAAGTGCATAATAACATGGTATATTTACAACATTTCAAATACGCACTCAAAAGACGTGTTTCTAGTGGAATTGTGCTGATTTTAAAACAAATGCTGGGATGTTAGAAAAGTAGACGGGTGTTTATATATTGAGTATGCGAACACAATCACGGATACGAATGATGTACAGGTCAACAATTCAGTACTTTTAATCAGAAACAAATAGCTTACACCAAAGAAAAAATAATTGAGTTTTATCTGTACAAAATGTATCATGTATAGATTATTTCTATTAAGTTTCAGGTAAGTTTTTCTCTTTTATCTTCCGTTTTTAACATAACCAGAGCTCCCCGCTTTCAGTACTGCATCACCAGCTAATGCTGAAAAATGAATAATAACCACGATCATATTATTTCTTTAAAATAACATAAAATAAAAAAAATTAAAAACATTAAAATATTAAAAAAATATATGTGTGCATATATTTAGGAGCATAAACAGCAACCTGTGGGCTACGTAGTTTTATAATCTTCTTAGAAAATGCTTCATTTCACACAGATATCATTAGCGCCTCAGTGCACTCAACGCGTACAGAGGTCTACAATTTCTAAACACCTGTAATTTCCCAATACGCTGTAAAACTATAATAATCTGCAACCCCTTCGGAGTGCTGTAAAATTTAAAAACAAA